AATTAAGACCCAAGCGGTGGCTACAGAAGTGAAAAATTATCACACATACGCGGATGACCACTAAGAACTATAAATACCGTGTAGCTTGTGCACGTCTCCACCCCACCTGCGCATGCCCATGCCTATGTTATCATCACCTATGATTAAGGATTCTCGAGGGAATTCGAAACGTTAGGCAAATAAAACTCTTGTTCCAGTGATCGCATCTTCTTCCTCTGAATGAAAATATCGTTGAATGAACATTAGGAAAGGGTTATCGCGGGGGGTTAAGTCAATAGAGAATACCCTTGCCACTACGATTTTCAGGCGAAGAAAAGACATGAGAAACTAGAATGGTAAGGAATGTTTATTCTGTACAGAAGAAGCGGAGAATAGGCGGGTGTAAGTTGACTCTCGGACAAGTGCAGTCCGGCTGCTAGGGCGTCGGGTCCGGAGTGACGTCTGCTCGGCAGTCGTTATATGAGGTCATGTGCAAGTCAGCCTTGAAAGGTGATTGGCCAGATCGGGCTCGAATGTTCTCTACTATTAGCATCCTCTTCATCTGCCGCCTTGTTACTTTAAGGTCATGCTGCTGATCCTGTCGACACTTGTCAATCCCGACTCAACGACAATATTGTGCCGACATTCAATAGCGCTCTCCGACTCCCTTGTTCAATGGCCGCTGCTTCAAGATCATGGAAGTTTACAGGGAGCACTTTCTGACCTGTAGACCCTGGACCAACGGCCTCTCGCGCACACGCGCGCGTCCGGATAATCGCGGCTGCCTCAGGGCCATTTGCACACGCCGCCCTTCGACCGACGCAACATGGGCCTCTTTATTCGACACCCCTGGGGAACATCAGCATATCAATTGGACACCGCTTGAACTTGCTTCCCAGTCATATAAAACTAGCTGCCACGACTCTCGCCCAGGCATAACTGGACACAGTCAATACTCACCCTGGCTCCGCCACTGGTCACTGCTGCCTAAGGCTGCAACACGGGATTCTGCGCAGAGTCTGGTGCTTTTTACCAACAATTTTGGATTTGGTCTGGTCAATGCTGTGCTCTAAGCACAGCCACTGCTAAGGCGCAACGGTATTGCCCAATGGGACAGTGTGGGCACATCTGATAAGGAAAGGTTTTAGAAGGCTGCTTTGTTTGTATAAGTCGCACGCCGATGTAGGCTCTGCGAAGCCTGTTCTTTTCCACGAGCAGGTTGCCAAAGGGCTACGTCATTTCCGTGAAACCGGTTCTGGTTTTCACGACGTAAGCGTCTTATGAGGTCTTCTGCTGTAGAAGTGGTGGGGTCCCGAAGTTGATACCAGCGAGATAAGTGGAGTAACCCACTGCTACGCTATACGCCCAAAGAATATAAAAGTCCTGATTATCACCACCGTCATCTCCTCTTCACTACAAGCTATCATAGATAAGGGTGCAGGAGAAAACCTTGCTACTCCGAATGCAGCAGATACGATTTTAGCGCAGATTAGTTTATTTTTTCATTTCAACCATATATATGCAAGTTCTAATAACACAAATGAAAAATAAGTCATATTTATGGTGGATGACGTTTTCCGGAGACTGAGCATAAGACAAATGTACGTAGAGAAGATATCAATAACGGATTGCAATGGAATAACCGGATCAGCTGTGAAATGCTCTCCGCAATGCGGACTGCACAAACGAGATATATTCATCCACAAAAATTGATACAACCATAAGGAAAGGGGCCTAAAATTACGTCTTAATTTCTGGATACCTTGAAGACAAAGGAGGACGAATTGATGACGGTGACGTCATCTTAACAGAAACCACAGGGAAAACAACCTAACGAACCATTTCGCTAAGTGTTGAGATGAGAAGAATATATTAGGACGTCACATACCGTTCAATTGACGGACATTTCTTGAAGGCAGCTTTGACAATTCTTCGATAATATCATCGCAACTGGGACGATTGACGGGATCCTGTTTTAGGCACTTTTCGGCTATCTCCTTGATGACTTCAGGAGTATCGTCAGGGAACTGAAGCGGACACCTGGGCTCATTGAAGGCCTTCTGCAACACGTCAAGCAGTTCTTTTTTAGATATGCCAAAGAAGGGTGCTTTGCCGAGCTTGTATGCCTCCCAGAGGACGATACCATAGGACCAGATGTC